CTGGGTGGCTCAGTTGGTTAGGCATCTACCTTCAGCTCTGGTGGTGATCCCAGTGTCCTGGGATCGAGTCTCGCATCTGGCTCCTTGCTCAGCGGGGAAACTGCTTCTCCCTCTCCTTCTGCCTGCAGCTACCCCTGCTTGTGCTCTCTCTGTCAAATAAATAAATAAATAAAATCTTAAAAAAATAAAACCACCAGGGCATTTGGTTGCCTGTAGCTTTAAATTCAAACATTTGTAGATTGCAGTTAAGCCCTTCTACAGTCCATTCTTAACAGACTTTTCAGGTCTCAGCTCCCTACAACCCTGTTCAAGTCTTGTCAACTCAGAGCCTTCCAACACTCCCTACCCTTTTACTCTGTGTTTTTAGCTTGCTGTTTTCTTTCTCTCATACTTCAGCCTCATTCTATGCTTGGCAGAATGTTATTTCCCCTTCAAAGACCAGCTTAAGAGTCATTGCCTCTGTGACATTGGAGTAATCATAATATAGTTATTTTATATAATGCTGATTTGTATAAATTCAAATCCCCTAAATATTTTCCTGAAGAGACAGTCACATTGTCTAGCAATAAGTGAATGGTTAATAATACCTCCTCAAAGTCCATCTATCTAAGTATGTATCTATCATATTGCTGCTTAGTTATTCCAATATCAATAATTACCTAGGTATATGATCCCAGAAGGAGGCATTTGATTTAGGTTTATGAACTATTTCACATAGACATTTATGTTCTGAAACAGTTACAAATTCCAATGTCTTATTCCAACTCCCTGAATCATTTTAAGGAAGACCATCATGTATGATTTTTTTTCCTGCTTAAAATTGGACTATCCAGACTTTAAGAAAATTAGAGATATTGACAAGATTAGGACATCTATATTCTTTGATATGTTGAATTCTCACATTTGGAGTATGAGTTTCAAATAGGAACTAAGTGGATATAATTTCTTTTTCTTTACTCCTTTGGCTTTGATGCCACAGGAAGCCAGCTTGCTAACTCCCTGACACCTGATATTTCCCTGACTGAAAGGACTTTCTGATGAAGATCAGCATTTTCCCCAAGACAGGAGTGTGAATTCTCTTCTTCCTAAAGATACACATGTCCCTTAAAAGAGCCCGGAATATTTCCTGCAAAACTGCCTCAGTCATTTGAGCACTTATTAGAGCTACCATCAGAAAGGCTGAGGGAAGAAATGCGTCATTCCTGCAAAGGGAAAAACAAGTGCACCCTAAAATAGGCCAAGAACTTGAACATCAGCAAGATTACAGGCCAGAGGGTAAATCAAGCTTTAAATAAAAAATTGGTTTCAAAAATAAATACTTATCCTTTAGTTCCCTGGCTTAAGTTTTCCAACTTTCTCACTGCAGGAATTTTGTGAAATATACAAATGGTAGACAAGTAGTTGTGTTAATATTCTGAATTTACATTTTTTTAAATTAGGAATATGGTTGGTTTGTTGCGGTGGTCTGTTACGAGGTCTGTAATTATACAGATTACAATCTACACCTAGTCACAAATAGAGGAGTTACTCTCCTAGGACAATTTCAGGATCTCTCAGGTAGGAAAATTCTCTGTAACTGAGGAACGACTCAACTTTTAGACAAGGGCTCATTATGTCCAGGTAATTCCATGCCGATGTGAGCTCCTCCTTTCCCCTCAAGTCTTTATTGATGTTGACCCCAGGTTCTCCGTCAAACTCAATCCTGACTGAGCTGCAGGCAACCCCGCTGGGTGTGGACTTCAAGCCCACCACTGGAGGGCGTCTGGACGCTTCCAAACAATTCCGAAGCTCCTGGAAAGTCTGATCTAGAAAACTAAAGCACAGGAGGGAGAACGTGATATTTGATTTTATTGGGCTAATAAGTAAAGGGGATAACAGGAAGGTTTGGGAGCAAAACTAAACCGCTTTCTTTCGTGGGATCAGCCCTTCCCACCGGGGCAGCCAACTCCCTAGAGGGCAGGAGAGACTAATGTTATGAAGGCCTGAGCCCTCTGAGCTCCGCAAGGGCAAGTCTCCGAGGGGTTGGTGCCCCACAGCGCCGAGCTCCTGGCTAGATTCCCGGGCGCTGGAGGACGGGCGACGCGTCCCAAGGCGCTCGGACCGCCTTGCTGTCAGGCCATTGTGCTTCCGAGGCCGCCGGGGGCAAAGTCGCAGCAACCTGCTCTATAAGTCCTAGAAGTCCGGGTACGCGCGAGTCATTTTCAAATAATAAAGGAACTCCCGCCCCGACCTGCGATTCTTGCCGCACCGGGTTCGTTGAAAGCATCTATCCTTGGGGAGTGGGCAGTGAACGAACCTCCGGGTAGAAATGTAAAAGGTGTCATATATTTCTGATGGGCTCCCCTGCCGCATTCATTTCCTGCCTGCTGAAGGATCGCACTGAATTGCAATCACTTTACACTGATTTCCTCAATTTAAAAAAAAATTGTGTTTCAGAGCATCACTTTAAAGAAAAGTCTTGCTTCCTGCTCATGAACCTTTAAGTCCCTGGTAGGAAGAGGCGAATTTAAAGGCACAGGAGAGATGCTCAGGTTTCCAAGATAACCCAGCTCCGGGCAATGCGCGTCGCGAACAGCGCAGATTTACAAGAACACGAATTCATTGAGGCTCCCTGACAGCCTGTCTGCTGGGACTTCAAGTCACCTGCAGGGCCTCGGAGACAGATTTCGGCTTGCCGGCTACAAGATGGGAACCGGTTCCTGTGTAATTGAAAAACCTCACTCTCAGGTAAAAAGATGTCAAATCACTCCTCAGCCCAGACGGAATTCAGCATCCAAAGGGTTACGCGCGGCTGCTGGGTTCGGGCGGAGGAGAGGGCGCCTCGGCACTCCCAGTAATTCAATTAGTCAGGTTTCTGGAAGGTGGGGCCGAGGAGGGGGGTAGGAGGCGTGGGGAAGGGAGGAGATTAAGAAAACGCCTCTTTCTCGTGGAACAAACCAATCCTGTTGGAGTGAAGAGAGAGGAAAAAACCCCGACCTGTAAGCAAACAGCAGGCTGTTCACTGACTGGCTGCTCCCCCCCCCGCCCCCCCCCCCGCTCTCCCAGTAAACCGCAAGGGGGGGAAAAAAAAAAAAAAGAAAAAAAAGCAGCCCACATGACCCGGGCCGCGGCGGCAGCAGCGCTGGCTGGGCGCGGGCGGGCGGCGCCTCCCCCTGCTAGGTCCGGAGCTCACACCCGCGCTCGCGCAGCCCGCCTGCCCCGCGCCCTGCGCTACACGCCCGGGCACCGCCCCCCCCACGGCCGCACCGCCCACGTCCACGTTCACGCGCGTGGCCTTGCGCTCGGGGGCGGCGGCGGCGGCGGCTGCTGCTGGGTCGCCGTTGCTGTCGGCTTTACACGCAGGTCATTAACGAGGGGGCGTGCCCGAGGAGATTTTTCCCATAAAGCATTTTTTCTCTTTTTTTTTTCTCTTTTGCAAAACTGACTTTTACCTCTTTCCACTTCTCGCCAGTCATTTCAATCCCTCCTGGGCTGTTCGTGCTGCTGCACTCAAGTTTATTTTCCCGCCTGGTAGAGGTTTTAGGATTCGGTTGGTGCTTTTCACCTCTTGTTGCTGCTGTGCCCAAGGAGGGAAAGAGGAGCAGCTGCAGGAGGATCGGGAAGGTTTTCTGATGTAGTCATCGGGGAGGTGCCACTCGCTCCTGCGCGCTCTCTCTCTCTCTCTCTCTCTTTTTTCCCCTCTTTTCCCGTTTCAAACTGATTGATGCATCTCTACAAGTTGCCGGGCTTCGGGCAAGACCCGTCGGAGTCGCAGGGACACTTCTGAGCGCTCACCCGAGGCTCTTGGCACCGCGTCTGGGGGCTCAGTCTTGCTCCCGGAAGGCGATCGGAGACTGACATCAGCCCATCCAAGAGTTGGAGGGATTCATTTAAAAAGTGATTGTTTTCTCTCTCGCTCTCCAGCCTAACAGTTGGGTTGGCGTCGTCCTGCAGGTTTGGGCATCCCAGCTCCGCCTCGCTGGCTGGTTCGTAACCTCTGCTCTTCATTCACTCTGGTGCACCCACACCCGGCCAAGAAAAGCACGCGCGAGAAATCCCCGAGGCTCTGCCAGCGCCAGGGGTGTCGTCTCCCGCCGCCGCAGTCCGACTCCGCCGGGGGGACCTGCCGGAAGACACGGAGAGCCAAACTTTTCTTTGAGGTTTGCAAGGCAAGACCGCTCCTCGCCGGCTTAGCTGCCGCTTAAGCAGTTCCAGGACGCCGGCAGGGCTGGGTTTGTGGCTCCGGATCCCCACCCTTTTCGGCGCACCGCCCCGAACCCGCAGCACCTACGACTCCTCCGAGATTTCCAAGGGTCTCCGGGTTAAGGCACAGAGAAGGCGGGGGAAGGGGGTCCTCACACTCCGGGACCACAGGCGCGAAGCCCTCCATCCGCACGGAGCCCTCCTCCTGCAGTTTCTCACCCGCCGCCAAAGTAACTTGGAGCGAAGCGGGGCGCACTGCGAGGGCCCTGGGCGGCGGCGGAGCCGTGCGCAGCCCGCGGCGCCGACGCTGAGCCGGGCCCGGCGGGCCAGTGTATGTCTCCCCGCGGCTGCGGCGCGCAACTCCCGGTGACTGTGCAGCGTGCGCCGCCGCCTGCCCCAATCCGCGGTGCCGCCGCCCGGCCCGGTGCGCACCTCCTTCTCCCGGGGTGACCGGCCTGCCGCCGCCGCTCGAGACACAGCTTGGCACCCCTTCCCCCGCCCTCGCCGCCGCCACCACACACACGCATGCTTCTCTCCATCTTGTGATTCCTTTTTTCCTCCTGAACCCTCCATTGGGGGTGCGAGTTTGTCTTTGCCCCCTCCCCGACCACCCCCCCGTCTCCTTTTCTCGTTCTCCTTCCCCTCCCCAGCTTGGTGTGCGCCTCTTTCTTTTCTCGCCACTCTTCATTCTTATTTATTCATATTTATTTGGCTCCTGCTCTCTTTCTCCCCTTCCCTCCCTCCCTCCCTCCCTCCCTCCGGATTCCTGTTCTTTCCCCGGAGTGGCTTGTCGGGGGCTCCGCCGCTGGCTAGGCGTGATGTTGCACGTGGAGATGTTGACGCTGGTGTTTCTGGTGCTCTGGATGTGTGTGTTCAGCCAGGACCCAGGCTCCAAGGCCGTCGCCGACCGCTACGCCGTCTACTGGAACAGCAGCAACCCCAGGTAAGGCAATAGGGGGAGCGGAGAGCGGGGATACTCGGGCCTCGGCGCCCTGCGGAAGAAGCGGCGGTGGCGGCGGGGACCAGCGCGCACCAGCCGCCGGCGGCGCGCACCCTCGGAACCTGCGTCGCCAGGGCGCTGATGGCTTTCGAGGCGCCCGCGGGAAGCGCTCCCGTCGCGCCTCTCTTTGTTAAGCTGCCTCAAAGAGACCAGGAGTCCTTGGGAGTCCCGGGGGCAGCCCAGACCCGCTGCCTCTGCGGAGCGCGGGGAGACTCGGAAAAGGCGGGAGCTGGGGAGTCGAGACTTCTCCGCTTCTTCACCGGGGCAAGCCGGCCAGCATCTCGATCCGGGCGTAGCGCTTGGGCACCGGGAGTCCCGGGTGCGCGCCGTCAGGAGTTCCCGCCTGGAGCGTGGTTGCGCAGGGGCTGCAGGGAGAACCCACCAAACATCCCCAAAGTTTTTTTTTTTGTTTTTTTTTTTAATTTTCTTCCCTTTTCTCGGTACGTTCAGGGAGCGCACGGGCTGGGGGGAAGTGAGGCGGGGGCGGGGGCTGGGAAGCGGAAGCTTTAGGCTTTTATTTTCTTCTAACTGCGAGGCAATCATCCGGCCCCAAGCCCAGTCTCGGCCCGGCGCGCCTGGCAGTGGAGAGGATTCTCCCACCTCCTTGCCCCCCGTGGGCTCAAGGTGCCAGAAAGTTTGATCTAATGCCGGATTACGTCATGTGTGCGGAGCGAGCTGCTGGAGTTGGCCGAGCCGGGAGGTGGGAGCCCTGTAGTTCACGGCCTGGCGGTGTGAAGCCGGAGGAACACGCGCAATTACCTGGAACCGTTTTGTGGGCGTCTCCAAAGCCCTCCGAGTACGCGGAAGGCTAGAGATGGGCGCCTGGGGCCGCCCTAGCGCGCCTGCTGGACTCTGGCCACCCGCAGACGTCCCTTGTTCAGGGATTCTGGAAGTGGGGAGGAGTGAGGGTTGTCCAGTGTGCCGGGCGAACCCCTTCGGATCCAGAGCAGCTCCGAGCCCTACTTTCTCCCCGGCCTGTGGGCAGCAGTCGGCCCCGCTGGGCCCATAATGTTCTGGCTCTCTGGGACTGAAGCCAGCTTCCAGGTGCGGGCTGGTTTCGGTGCCTGCCTAAGAGGGAAATAGCATCGATTATACCTGAAATCCCAGGTTTTTCTCTGGACTGGAGTGGAAGTTGGGAGGAGAGAGGCTGGAGGCCGAGGGGATGATAGTTTGTGGTGGCTGCGCGCCCAACGTGTATGGGAGAGAGGGGGCTGGCGGGCGCCTCCAGTTCTTCCTATCCCTGGGTGGCCGTGTCCACTGGGTCCGTCCTTACCCCTTAATTCAGGCTTGGAAGGGAGTCCCCGCTTGAAGTAATGTCAGCTCAGATGAAGATGGGCAGATTGCCCCACCAGCGGTCGACCGGTTGCCGAAAGGAGAGTAGCCCCCCCGCCCCACTCCAGGAGAGAGAGTCACACCCAGGTAGCCCAAATTCTAAATTGCACCGCCTGGCAGAAGTGGAGACATCCCTGAAAGTTTGGTTAAAAAAGAAAAAAATGTCTTCTGGAGGTGGGTGGTGGGATGGGAAGCTATTTCTTCTTTGACATGCCACTTACCACTATTAGGAAAAGAAAGGGAAGCCATCCCGCCAGAGGAGATGCCTTTTATTAAAGCTGACAAGACAAATAGAGCAAGCTTTCCAGTTGGTGATGGTGTTAAAAGCAAGTCTCATTATGTTGGTTGGTTTTATACCCGCCCTGGGCTTTATTAAACAGCATATACGAAATACAGGAATTTATATTTCTAAACTTTAGTGCCCTATTAAATAAAATAACAGTGAACCTGGTTAGTTGAATGTGGGACATTTTGTGCTTAGTTGCTTTTCCTTCCCACTCCAAACTTCACAGTGTGATCTTTTCCTCACAGTTTTCATTTATTTGGATTCTTGGGTGTTCCAGTCATCCTAGGTTAAAACAGAAAGAATCAGCAACACCCCCACTTACCCTTCCTTCTTAACCTGTCAAGCTAGTCTGAGTTAGTTTGAGGACATTTTATCTTAGGTTATCTCTGTTTTATGCTTTTGATACTGTTGTTTGGTTTGAGATTAGCACATTGATTTTTGTCACAGGTCATGTTTTTTAATAGATTTGCCCTGCCTGTAGAAAACTCTGCTCAGGATGCCGTGGTGGCTTTGAACCTGCCCAGACAAAGTTAATCTGTAGAATTTTAAAATACCAAGGGTATTCTTAAGTCTGTATTCTAATTCGAGGCTTGTGGAAATACCTTTTTATTTGATCGTTATCATTTTGATGATGTTCAAAAGAAAGGATAATGTACCCCTCTCCCAAGAGATTCAGCTCTAACTTTAGTATTCTTAGGGGTTTGTGGGTGCATTTATCTTCATATGTTGTCACAGTAAAACTTACTTTAAAAAAACTAACGTAACCGTGAAAGGCAGGCCTGGTAGGCAGATTTCTCTCTGAAATGTTGAATAAGATGGGGTTTTTTTTGATGTATTAAGAAAATTCAGCTTGGATGTGATTTAAAAACAGCCAATGCAAAATAACTAGTTTAGAAATAAGCACAGTTTATCTCAAAAGATAGGGAAGAAACATTTTAGAAAATTTTCAAGGGTTTACTAAATTTTATAGATTCAATGTTTTACATTTTACTTTCAGTAATGTTATTTTGTAAAGTAAGCTAATCATGCCTTCTGATTTTATATAAATCCTATTTTTTAGGACTTGTTAAACTAATAAGATCAGAAGACTTAATCTTTTGGAAAAAAGTTGAAAACTTTGATTTCAACTTAAACAGATTAATTTTTTTTTCTTAGGTAAGTTCAGTAGACAGGCTAATAAGGGATTCTGTGGCAAAATGAAGTAAATATATTTTTGCTTATACTAATGGAGGTGAATTTGAAATTATGTTTAAATACAATTAGAATTAAATATTACATCTTGATCACAGGATTTAAATATCTTATATTGTAACTTCTGTAGTCCTAGGAGTTCATTGTTTTCATTAATGACTCTTATTATACCATTAGTATCCATAGATCTGGATTAACAGAGAAAAAAATATTAAACTTATTTGCTATCAGATAGAATCTACTGTCATAGGTATTTGCTTCTGGAAAGTGGATGTTCAATTTTCAAATGCTGATAACTTTTTAGTTGCTAGTACTTATTGGGTGGCAGGCCAAAAACCAATTTTATGTTTTGAATTGGCACAAATCTCTGAAATAGCAACTGAGAACTATCAATCTGAATAGAAGTATATGTGATAACATTTGCCTAAATGCATCTTCCATATTTTAAAAATTTGGAAAGTTGTCTGGATTTCACCTAAATATAGTAATAGAGTGATCCTTCTAATGTTAGGCTGAATTCTGAACCAGCATGTTACTAAGTAACTTTGAGTAATGAATATCTAAATCAAGGAGAATATAGCTATTTGTCTTTAATTTCTTTAAGAATGTAAAAAGCTTTTAAGTAACTTTTAAAGAGACTTTCAGTAATAAAACTTTATTTACATTATCCCGTAGCAGCTACGCTTGTAAAGATAGAGATGACTCAATATAAGAACATGCCTCTTAATCTGAAGCATGTTGTAAACAGTTTGGTGCTTCCAATGAGAATATTCTTTTAAATATTGTGTGTATATTGAAAAGTTCTTGGTTTCTTTTGACCAGTTGCCAAAATGATAATAGGATAATTAAACGTTTCCTACTAATTGGCATTAACAGGTAGAAAAGTAAAATAATACAGTGGCAAATACTACCAGCATACTTGAAGAATATTGATTCTCCCCACTTAATGCTTTGCTTCTGCTGGGTTCTGAGTATCACCAATTTAAAGTGTTATGCTCTGATGGGAAGAAAAAATATCTCTATAATTCACCCAGAGTATACTAAATTTTAACCCAATCATATGTTTTCTTTGGACTTTTAAAATTCTTGTAGGGACTTGTAAATTAAACATTTCATGTTAGAGTAGCAGGTAATTGACACCATTTAGTTTTGTTAACATGTAATCTTGCAGTTGTGAAAGTGCTATGAATTCTAGGTCAGTACTCAAACCTTTCTGGTTTACAGATCATTTGTATGTGGCTAAATAGAGAGAGATAGTAACTCCCCCCCCCATCATAATCCTTTGGTTTTTTCCTTTCAAAATAAACTTGTTTTATTTTTTTAAATCAGAGTCATCAATGTTTTATTATGTATATACAATATTCTAGCACTGTGCCTTTTCCACTGACAAAGGAAATCGGTTTGATTTAAATCTAAGAATTTGGAAAGATGGAAAGTTGATCCTGGTTTTGAATGAATTTTATCACCAAACTTGTACAGGATTAACTTTATTTTTGAAATTTTAAATGTTTAAATAATAACTTATATGTTAGAAACTTAAAAGTTCTTCCAGTAAAAAGCATTATTTAGAATTTTTTAATTTTATTAACAGCCTCAATGTAATGTATTGATATAATTGGGTAATTTTATTATTTTGATCTTTTTATCAGAATTTATGTAGACATCCGGATAAAAATAAAGCAGTATGACAGATTTATATCTCCCGTTTTTACCCTGATCCATTTGCAAAAAACCTGAAGTGAATCCTCCCCCCCCTTTTTTTTTACTTTACAAATTGGTATAATGGTTCTTGTTTTGGGGCACTTTTCTGTAAACATTTGAAAAGAAAAATTAGCTCCTGAGATGTTTGTTCCATCCATTTTATGCGTTATATATTCATAATAAGCTCTCAGAAATAGTCAACTGTCTTTTTTTTTTTTAGGTGACTGGAACATCAGTGCTATTTGAGGCATACTTGGCTGTACAGTCTAATTTGGCATTTCCAGCATGAGACCAAGGTCAATAAACTCCTTGTGATTAAAAGAATCAGAGAGAGCCTTCAGTTGTTCATTACTCCCTGTTAGTTGATTTTAGTGGTATTAACTAAACCATTGGCTCACTGAAGGAATATCTTGTTGCCATGTGTGTTCTGGCT